CACTTTATGCGTTCAGTGAGTATTTAAATATTTTTTTTTGCTTTTCAACATTGAATCACTGATGAGAACGAATAACGAAGTAGTTTGTAAGATATTCAATGAACGCTGCCTAAATATTGTCATCTGCAGCCATTCATGCAACCTTAGCAGGTGGATTGCATGTTAATGACAAGTTAATCGCCCATCGTTGTTGATGCATGTAATAAAAAAACGGAATGTGTTCATCTACTGTGCAACATGTATTGATATTCTGTACTTCCTATCTATTTCTGAGATCTACGTATAGAATGGCGCGTTACCGCCGAAACCAGCACGCACATTCCGCAAACTCACATGAGACCTGACACGATTCCGACTAAGGTCTCGTCCACGCTCTAATTATGATAACCACTACCGCACGCGCAATATGAGCAGCTTATACAATTAACTAATTCCATCCCGTTATGATGTGCGCCTGGCGAAGCCAGGCCAGCTCGGCGAAGCCGAGCTAAACAGGAGGAGGAGAGCTCGGCGTTAGCCGTGCGATCGACTGGTTAATAAATAAGGCCTAAGGTTTTGACTCGTTTCTCGTCTTCAGAGTTCTGAACATGTTTCATGGTGTAGATGCGACGCTAGGCCCATAGCGCCTGTCAGCTGTAAGGTTCCGCGACATCGTGACTCACGATTAACGATGCGCGGAAAGCGCTGACTGTGTAGCAAGACAGAATCGTCCGGTGTAGCTGGTGGGCGCGGCCTGTGACATCCTTACGGCGAGAGAATGAATCTTGCGTCTGGCCGTTTGAAGAGGTATATTGAAAGAACGGTAAACATATTACACCCAGAATCGAGTATTGTGTTCAGTGGCAGTTGAGTTTTTTAAGTTTTCCTCTGTTTTTTCATAAAGGATGGAAAAGTTCATTAGAGCATGGACTTCATTGGGGCCTTTAGGTCTGTGTCTTTACAGCAGCTCACAGGAAAACTTGACCATTCATCTATCAAATGTTGACGCTGACGACTGCGCAAATCATGTGAATCACATAAACATAGGGAGAATAACTGCCTCATTTGATTTCTTTTGTATTGTTTATTTTCTGAAATTGCGTATATGGATCCGCCAGACAATTGTGTGTCACTACGTTAGATTTTCAGTTATTGATGGAAATCTGGTAAACGTTGCGGATGTACGCTGTAGTAATCAATTGCTCCAGTCGCAAAGCTATCGGCTAGCAAATGCACGTGAGCTGCTGAGTCATTCGCCGCGCGACGCGCCGCGTGCCGCGGGCGCTGCCCCGGACGATTCTGTTGCACGTCTCCCGGAAGCGCTAGAGCTGACGAGGCACTCGATGGGGTATGTTCAGGCCTCTGCAGACGACGAACTAGTCGAAACGATAGGCGTCATTTATTAATAAAGTTCTACCCAACTAACTGGTAAGGCACGGAAGAATTGATCATTCACAATTTACATGGAGGGGTTGTGAGTAAAGAGAAGCTGGAGACTCTCCATTGTATTTTTTATTGTGGCCAGTTTCGGTCGACCCGAAAAACCTGTGCGTGAAATGGGAATGGAGTACTACTTCCATTGCATTCAAACACTTGCCTATTCTTCCTTTTTCTTCTTCTTTCCCTTCTTTCCGTCTAACCATAGGTTATTACGAGATACTTCATTCGGCGCCAATTGTCATCACCTCTTCATTGCGATATGCAGCCGACTCCCACGCAGAGGTGTTGGAAAGGTGCAACTTTTAGGTAAGGCTCACTTTTTTATTTCGTGATTCATGACGTTAGCGAGCTGTTATGTACTTCTTTTTCACCGACCGTTCACAACGTCCTTGCAAACTGCCTTTATCTTCAGGTGTCTCTTCCTCTTGCACCCTCATATTACACTCGCACCTACTTCACATTATGGATCACACTTTATTGATGTTGCACTTGAACCTTATTGCAGGTTCAGAGGAAGTTCGTGTGCACAAAGGAAGCTATATGATCGTCGGGAAAAAAAAGGTTGCCTATTCAGGGATTTAACTGTCAGGTAATCATCGTTACACTCTTAAGTCTGATCTGCTTTTTCCCGTCAGCCATTGGAATTGACTCATAAGTAAAATCGTTCCTTCCTAAGTAAAAGTTTTGTTGTTGCAGCACTGGTGTTATGCAAAAAACAAGCAATAGAGGCTTTCAATCAAACACTATTACCTGCGATTCCGTAGAGTAGCATTGCATGGGAGGCACTGCAGGGTTCAATGGGGTGCCTATGAAGCAGCTTATTCACGAAGATTAACAGTGATTATAAACGCTCCCACGCTACTAATAAACATCTTCATTCAACGGGAACGGCTCGAAAACTTAGTGCAAGAGTTCCGCATGTGGTCTTTCTTCATCGACCTCAGCAGTTCGTTTGAAATGGAGTCGTTATCACCGAAACCAGTCGGGGCATGTAAGCTAGGCGTGGATTTTGACGCGGTGCCAGCCCGTATTTCTCCTACCGCTACTACTTCGGCTTTTCGTGCATGGTGGGAAAAGAGCCGACGCCGCTCCGAAACCCACGCTCCACTGACACACCCTCACTGACTTCAGTGATAAGCGATCGCATGATCGCATAAGCATGTTCTTGTGAGGTCAAAATCCCAGTCATTGAATTGATCGAATCAAGTTAAGGCAGCTTCTATTAGTGTTCTCCTGGAGAGAAGACAGTCCCTGCGCTTAATCGCTTCCTAGGCGCCCTCTTTTGTAATAGTCTTGTTCGCAGTCTCTAAGATTGTCTCACTTCTACAGAATGTAGTGAAGGCGCTGCAGCCCTCATAAATAGAAATTCTGACGCCGAGCGGTTATACGCCCATAACAAACTCAATGTGCTTCTCTGTCAAGGTCGCAGCTTTTGCACCGTATTTTTCAACTGTTAGATGGTATTAGCGCTGGATGACGTGAAGAAAAGATTAGCGAGCCAGGAGCTGCAGAATATCGTCTTGCTGGCACGGAAAGTTGATCCGTGAAGCTCGTGCAGTGAGGCTGCCAGAAGTTTCCCTTTGAGGTGTTCCCCATGATTTCTTCTTTTTTTCATCGTCTTTGGAAGGTCTTAGCGACTACAGATTCGTAAATGAACTCGCCTATTTCACAATATGCAATCGCAGGGTTTCGGAATGTCTTCAACCGCAAAAGGAATGCCTCAGATTATTCACTTGGCTTTAACTTTTACTTAAAAATCAAAATCAATCAAATTTTGGGACCTTCATAAAAACACTGAGCACGCTGATTTCGGTGCAACCCCCAGGGTCAGAACATCTCACTTTTCACAGAAAAAAAGCAACATCACATTGGACAAGCACACCAAATAAGCAGCGATGCATGTATATCTGGAAGCTTCATCATCATCACATGGAGCAGGCGAAGTACTCCTCACGAAGCGGAGTTCAGTAACAGCGAACGACATCTTGAGGAACGCTGACATTTGAGTGACGCACACTGTTCGACATTTACTTTCTCTACGCTAGAGACCAGGGCACAGCATTCGATGGGGATTTTGGTTAAGCCTGTACGACCCCCCCCCCTTTTTTTGGGGGTTTGGTACGACCCCTCCCCCTTTTTTGCGTTAGCAGAAAAAAGGCAAGGAACCACGAGTTTATCGCAGGTGGGCACCACTTGTGAAAAACAGGCTTTTTGTGTATTCACACTGTATTCACTTTACTGGAGGTGCAATATAACCAATCAAGCTAGGAACCGCGCGAGAACAACAAGAAAGGAAAAGCTGAAAACAAAAAAAGCTTTTTCAACGCGGACGATTTGTCTCGCCCCTCAACTGAATCCGACTCAGAAGGCGTCAGTGGTGCGATTGCGGCCAGCCGTTGCCTCCGTTTGCATAGCTCAATCGACTATCGATTAAAGGACCGGGGGAAGGGAATTCTGGGCAGGACCAGCCGTGGGAAACAAATTTTCAGCAAGTAGGGTGTCTTTGAAGGACCATAACTTCCTCAAAAGCGGACCTATGGGAAGAGGAAAGCGTATTCGTGTAGAGGAAGGTTTGATCTTCCTAAAAGTACTAAAATGTTCATGAAGGTCGCAAAAATCACAGAGAAATTGCCTTGGGGATTCGATGGGGATTTTTTTCAGGAACAGGTTTGAATCAATATTTATTTTTTTTTTGTAACTCAACATTTCACAAATCTGAGAACGGATTCGAGTGTATGAAGACTTGCTCTTTCTAAAAACCTATTGAACTGTTTCGGAAGTCCTCGGGATTCATGAGATCTGGCGATGGGGATTTCTTGCGCAGTACTCCAAGCTGCGCGAAAAACCCGTTTCCTGTGTACCGTTTCAGTAGTCGTGTGAAAAAAAAACAGGTTGGCTCAGCGCCAAGCGCGATCGCGGACACGCCCCATCATCCGCAGCGAACCAGAGTATGAGTTGTAGTGTTTAATCACTTACGAGATGATGTCGACTTTTTATTTCCAGTTATTTCAGATTAGTTTGATGATTGAAAGTTTTTGTACTATTTTTTACATATCCGAGTTCTCTACAAAGCAAGCTTCGCTGTACAGGACTCAGCACACTGAACACCTCGCTGCTCCGTTACTGGCTACCGCACTCATTACGACCCCCCCGTCTCCTGGCGGCCAAATACGACCCCCCCTGCCGGGGGATTCCCCAACAAACGATGTGCCCTGCTAGAGAAGGAGAGGCTTTCCATTTCACACTGCTGTCATTCTGTCTTTTGCTAGGCAAAGTCATGAATTGTTCTAAAAAAAGATCCCAGCGAACGCGCAACCGCTGCCACACTTGAATGAAGTACTCGGGCATACCCTCTCCATCTCAGAGGGTTATCTGCCCTGATATGCCGAGATTGTGAATGAAAGTGGCCTCACACTGCCCTCTTACTACAGCGCGAATCAGACAACAATCTGCGCCAATTGATTGTTACAAAGCATAAAAAATGTGAGAATGTGAGTAAAAGGCTAACATCATTCAACAGAGAATTCGCTCAATTTCTCTTTATTTCGGCTGCTCTTCAATCTATGTCGAGGTAATGATGGTCAAAGGAGGTGAGAAAGTAGAGAATATGCTAGTGTGTCTGAATAGTGTTCACAACAATAGTAGACAAGTAAATCACTTCCTAGACATCCCACTCCTGATGGATTTCGGAGTTTCGTGGACAAACTATTCATGGAAGAATTAGCGCCAAGACATCCATTGAGGTTGCCGGCGCCCTGAAAATTGAATGTTTGTAAAGCCATAAAGTATGACAGTCTTTCGATCATGATTCGCAAAAACATATTTGTAAGGAGCACGAGAATTGGCTTTTAAATAGCAGCGACGCATTGGCTTACAAATCTGGCACATAACTGTTTTCTGATCACTTCAATTGTCATAGTTGTCTTGAACGGACGGAGCCCCTTGTTTTAGCTGTCTACCATTCTTTTGCGGGCTACATAGCAAAAAAAAAACTTGTTGGAGACGACAGAATAATCCCCACGCTTCATATAATTGTAGGGTTCGGTAGCCCTTGCAAAATTAGTTGGCCCCCAGTCTACGTTTATCCCATCTTCGCGGCTTCACATTCAAGAGGCACTATGGCCCTCAGAAGTGGCAGTCATGACGCCTTCCTAGTTGCTCCGCCCACCAAACTTAGAGGCTATTTTCTGTCGCTAGTTCATTTTTACATAGTGTTTTTTTTCAACTGTTAGATGATATTAATATTGGATGACGCGGAGGAACGAATAGTGAGCCGGAGGTGGCAGGTTATCGCTTTGCTAGCATAAAACGAGCAGGTCCTCTACAGAAGCTATTAGCCTTACCAAAGTATGTCTCCCATGTTTTTTTGTTCTTTCCCCGCCGAGAGTCCATTATAGCGACTAGTGTTTATAAATGCGACTCTACAGAACACCAATCGTTCGGCTTATGCACTAATCTCAGCTAGACGACATGGGGCACCACGCGATAAGGGCAAGCACAACCAAAGGAGAGTTCGAAGTGCACTTCGACAAATTTCCAATCTGCTGGCAAGCAAAAGTAAATAGTGAGCAGTAAGGAATGGAAACACGTTTTTCCCCACAATTTTTTTTCCATTTTCATCCTCAGGTTGAGTCACGTCTTCATTACAAAGAGTTCTTACCTGCGTACTGGGTGCTAGATAAGCATTGGATGTCGTCCTTTCCACTCCATGTAGCCAAAATGTTGTACACATGCCTTTTCCCTGAAGAAAGAAAAATGAATGAAGGCGTCTAAGCAAGTAGAAAATGGTTCTAATGGAAAAGTTATCAGGCCCTCCAAATCAGCGGCTATTCAAAAATTACTCTAATGGCTCGATTAGGCATGAAAGGGTGTTGAACAACAAATTTCAGCTATCATCGTAGGACGTGTCAAGTTCACGGTAGCAAGCGTTCCAGTGTACTTCCTACTTCCTATGCACATTACTGGAACATTTGCTACCGCGAGCTTGTCACGTACTGTGATGATCTCGTGTCACAGTTAAAGGCAGTTAGCACGATAAATCCCTCAAGACGAGTAGGATTAACACGCCTGGCACTCCGCGATCCTGAGCAAGCCTGCATAGCGCCTTTTCCAAGAAAGGAGCTCTTATAAGGGCCCTATCACGCCACAACATACCGACCCAAACGCCTTTAAAAACGCCTCCCAAACGCCTTCATTTGCCAAGCAAGATTATGAAGCGAAGGGATTGGTATGAAGCGGCCGTGATGCTGCATGCATACATGGGTACACATATGCCCGTATCTTCGGTAGCGGTGATTGGCAAGATGCCTACGGGAAACTCGTCCAAAATCGATTTCAAGTCACTGAGAACGGAGGCTTTTTCTTCGCAGGATTTTGACCGTTTCACTCCGTTCTTTCGCCAGTTTCCCACAATGTAGTGCCTTGAGGTCGAGTACCAAATCATCGTGCCTACTGCCTTTGAGTTTCGTGTATAGAACTCTTTGAGCAGAGGTGGCGATATGCGAAGCGGCAAAAAGAGAAAGGATGTCGTTATGTCGTTTTGAGATTCCACCTCAAAAAAAATCAGTCGCCAGCAAAAAAAAATAGAAATGCTTTTGTTCTTGAGTGCCAGAATACCTATGTACAGCGGGAGGAGAAACACAGATGTAGGCAAATATGACAGAACTTGATCGCTACGGTCCCTTCATCAAATTTCCCATTCATGTACACCAGTAAAACTACTACCTGTGTCGACGAAAAATATGGCTGGAAAGCTTCTCCAAGCAGCTGCCTTCCAGTGGAAAGGCGATGAAGAGATCAAAGAGATCAATAAATCACTATGTACTGCGGCCAGAGAATGATTTCACCCATTTCAAAGCATACACTTCATATCTCGGAGATAGTAGGGTGGCTGCATATTCATTTCAACCTGCACACCTTAACCTTGACTAAGCTTTTGATGGGACTCTGCTATTTTGAGACTACCCTACACATACATACCCTATATCTTGCCCCAGCCCAAGATAGCACGACAGCTCTTTGGTCCCACCTAGAACAAATGAGGGACACGGCCATGTCTCCCGATTTTCGTGATATGAGCATTGTCCATCTGTGAGCCATGCGGGGCGTCCCTGTGCCGACTCCTATCTCTCTTATACCTAAGCTTCTTTTTCTCTTCCGTCTAAACTCTCGCAGCCATCGCAGCGACGCCCCGCAGTGCTATGAGGAGCGCACTGTATGTATCTCCCGGGAGGCAAAATGAAGTTCAGACGGCGGAATAATGGAGTGTCTCTTTGTGGGGATATCTCTTGAACTACCTCATCTACTCACCTTAACTTGTATTTGTCCTCTTTCTTCAGTCTGATATTCCGGATAATGTTGGAGCAAAAGTTCGTTGGCGGCCTCACTGATCTGTGTTTTTCCGGGTCCGCTATTGCTTTCCATACGAGATGACATATTCACCTGGAGCAGACACTTATATTTTCATCAGAAATTTTCCCACTTGTCATTCCTTTCACAGTCAGAGATATAAATGTACAACATAATTCGCTATTGAATAGAAAGCTACCGTATCTCCAAACAGACAGTAACGAGGAGCATTGAGTCCGACAACGGCTGCTGCAACAGGTCCTGAAATCGAAAAACTTTCTGAACCAGATCGTTAGCGGCAAGACTCGCTATTCGTGAAGAAATTCGAACTTTTACTTTACTCGAACTTTTCGCGTTTACGGTGTCTTGCTCAGCAAGTGCACTGCGTTGCGTAATGAAAATAACAACCTCATGAATCTCTCCTGAGAAGTTGCTTTTTATGCTTTCAATTTCCGAAATGGACAATTGTGGTGACAGAAATAGGAAACCTGCACGTCAGTAAAAAAACGTGATAAAGAGACTCTCTCATCATTGCGTCGTTCCGAAGCAAGGGTCATAGAAGAAGCAGCACAGTCAAGCCTGAGGCTTGACAGGCATGTGGCACGATATATCCCCAAGACGAGTAGGATTGATGCCTAGCAGCAACTACCCTGCACAGGCCGCCATGTGGCCTTTCCCAAGGAAGGTACCCTTCTAGCGCCCTGCCAAGCTGCAACGTACCGACCCGGACTTCTCATCGCACCGCTACATAATGTCCGATCGATGATTAGTGCGCTCGTATGCTTCATCTTGCAAGAGTAACAGTAGGAAGAGAAGAGATTGATGTGAAGCAGCTTTAAGTGGCGCGCATACATGGGGGAGGGGTTTTGACAAAGACTCCTCTTTCATAAAGGCGACAGGTAAGTTAATCTTTAATTTAAATTCTGGTTGGACATTTTTGCCAGCATATTCAATAGCATATTGTACACTATCACGACACTCGGCCACAGGACGACGGCCATCGAGAGGTTCTGCCGCGCGACCATGATTGGGTGCCTGAGTACAGCGAGCTCCTTAATTCTGCGCCACTGTGGCCACCTTGCTGAGCTCCGCCCCCTGTAATCGGAGGGGGTTTCACGTCAAGTGACAATATTCCGTCAGGTTCTCAGCGCCTTCCCACTCCCGAGAGGCGAGCGTTTTTTAAACGCCCTTTGATTCCATGTGGTGACACAATCCTGTAGCAGTACGAAGTTTCCAAGATGGTACAGGCGAAGAGACAGGTTCTTCTTCTCGAGTTGCTCGATGTAACCGCCAGCGCTCACCTTCAGTCCGGAGTCCACGAAGGAAATATCGGTCTTCCCATTCCAGGAACTTCCGGGTCCCATCAATCCGCGTATTTCGTGATTATGGCATTGCCTATCTGACAGCCGTGCGGCGTCCCTGTGCGACACTATTCTCTTACATTAATAATAAGCCTCTTTTCCTTCTACCGTCTAAACTCTACGCAGCGCATTGCTGCGAACGCGCCCGCAGAAAACGCGATGTTAATCTCCGGTAAAATGAAGTTCATCTCAATCATGGAGTGTCTCTTCGTGGGGATATCTCTTAAACCCGCACATAAGAAGTTTCGCAGCTGTTTGAAGGTGATGTGAATTCCTAGGCCCTTGTAAGGCTGCGAGCGAGATGGCTCTATTTTTTGTTGTAGCAATGAAGGGAAGCGAGAGCCTTCTCCTGCTTATCGAGAGACACCTTGAGTATCTTGCGTCCTGGTACTCGTACCCATGTCTTCTGTCTGGGCTGCGAAACCTCACTGATATGTGACTCTGATCGAAAGTGTTTATTGCCCCCCCCCCTCCCGTATATGAGTAAATACGGGTGCGGCCCTATCGTACTGTATCGCTTAATTGCAGCAATGCCAGCGGGATAACTCGTCCAGAAAACTGATTTCTGAGGGGTGTGGAATAAAGGCTCTTTTTTGTAGGGCACACGGGCACCCAGTAAGCCACGCCAGCCTACCGGGTGCCCATGGGCTTAACGTTCAAAGTGTTGCGCGTGTCGTCTGGTAGTGCTTTGCAGCTTTCTCGTCTCTCTTCCCGGTGTCTTCTGGTCACTCTCGTTTCGTGTTCTCACACTTTCAAAACATTGCACTCTCGTCCATTTTATCCTTAACACTTGGCGACATTGCGTCCTCACTGCTGGGACGGCACCTTTTTTTGGCGCTGGGATCGCAGGTAAAAGACACGAAGTGGAGAGACGTTTTGAATTTTCAACAACCCAGTATTGTGCAGGAAGGGCATTGTAGAATATACAGTAGCTGTAAACCGTGCAGTTGTGTCACTGAGAGCATTTTACCGAGGAGACAAACGAAAGTGATTTCCTAGGAAAAAAAAGGCAATTCTTGGCTATATCGAACTGAAGCTCCACATGCAAGATAAGCTAATTGCGATAAAGTAAGCGTTCAATCGAATAGTAGAGTCCGCAAACCCTTACTAGCTTCTGCAATGAATAATTTCTGACCATTCTTCAATTTTTTTTGGGCGTATAAACGCCCTAAAATTTATGCGCATTCTTCGAAAAGGGAAAAACTTCTTTCTTTAGGGAAGAAACTGCCCATGTCCCACGCGGCAGACACGCGAAAAGGCGCCTTGTCGCCAATGTGTTAACCAGTGATCGCGATCAACTGCGGAATTGAAGGTCTTGTTGAGAGCCGGTTTTCAGGCTACCATTTTCTTGGGAGAGGTACACCCTAGTAGAACTTTGCGAACTCTTTTACCGTCTTCAACTCAAAATGACGGGGTCTTCCACAACACCGTCAAGTGTTATACAGAATACGTAATCTCAGAAGCCGTGCATATCCTCCCTCATTCTTAGATCAAAATAATATCTTGCGTTATAGGGAACACTCGAATTTCACCAAGTCGTACTGGGAACTGAAGGCTCCTCAAATTGTTATGGTCAGTACATGAGAAGATGCTGCTTGGCTTCTGTAGATGGGAGATGTGGTCTACGCGCAGCCCCGCTGCTTGTCGAGTGAGTTGGGTCTGGTGGGGGCGAATGCTGCGTTCGACAAGTTGGATTAACGCCTGTTTCGCCGCGACTGGGAAGCAACTCCTCCACACCCTGGCAGCTTTGTCAAGCACTTTGAAGCCGACAACTGGGAGATGCTCTGTAGACAGCGCCAAGTTGTGCCATAGAGGCGTCCTGCATGTCAGGTAATGGCGACGCTCTGCTTTCTCTAGATTTCTGTTTTAGCAGGCATTAATTCGAAACATCTGCTAAGACAATTTTGGAAGATTCACTGGTGGCATGATCGTTTTGCTACACAGTGTATAGTTTGTAACATCGCAACGAGTCGGGGGCGGCGATCGCAGCGCGGCATGAGCCCGCTTGCAGCTGCCTCACTCTACCAATGGGGTAAAGATCGATTAGGAAGAAAACAACCAGTGGTGAAAAGGCGGCAGGTGGCGACCACTAATTGCGACGCGACTGTTTGCGATGATATCAGTTGGACGTACCTGTGTGGAATCCGAGACGGCAGACCACCCTCTGATCAGGCTTATGCGGAACACTGAACTCAGTCAGATACTGAAACTCTCGAGACTTTTGATTTTCAGAGTACTGGTTTTTAGGGAGAAATATTTTCATACCTTGTTGACGTCTATAGCTATGCCAGCGATTTCATTTATGTGCCGATGCCCATTCTCCTCCGGTACTCCAGAAACGACCATGTAAGCGTCTCCGATCGTTTCCACCTAGGTTGTGTATGCATTACAATTAAGACTTAGCGATCACATAGCCTTCCTGATTTCAAATTACGAAATTTCTTCAATTCTGATTTTTTTCCTCGGAAACATTCTTTCCCCCTTACAGCACGTACTTCGGGAGTTGCTATTGCGACATGAGTACTACAGTAGGAGGACGGCGAGAAGCTGCGAAAAAAAGTGATTTACAAGGGAAGAGTTTCAATTTCCCATGGAACTTTGAATGGAGACCTAGGCACATCGATAGAGCCTCAATATGCTGATTACGAATATGCAGATTAAAAGTGCTATGGGGACCTCCCAGACGAGATCTGGGCGGTCAAAGTTTGCGAAAACTTGGTTTTGGCTCGTAAGCGGTACTGATCGGTCGTGTTAGAAGTGTTCAGCCGTGCCTATGAAACGGTCTCGTTAACAGCTGATCTGTCCTGATCCGCAGCAATTTCAACAGTTTTGGCGAGAAAACTCGTTCCTGGCAGATCCCCTGAACACGAGTATCACATCAGGCATCAGGGCTCTATCGATGTACCTAGGTCTTCAAAGTTCCATGGGAAGTTGAGGCGCTGGCTTTGGAGCGGCGCTCATTTTTCACCAACTGTGAAACGCGGTGGACATACAATTAATCGATGGAAACGCGTCGCGCACTACCTTACATTTGACACGCCTCAGAACAGGGCTGTGTATGCAACTCGGGCATTTTATACTATGAATGAATGACTGCTTAAGTGATTCCAACCAGAAATTGGCTAATGGTTGACAACCACCACCCGTAATGGAAACCAATTGAACTTTTGGATGTCTCGACGAATCTGTTAGATTTTACGCTAAGAAACCAGAAGATCTCACCTTGTATGCGTCCCTTCTTGCAATGAACTGATCAAAACCCATCAAATACTCCATTGAAGAACATTGACGTACTTCGCAAGTGGAGAGGCCAGTTTGGCATACGCTTCCAGTGAAAACCGACAATGTCGCTGAAAAAGAATTATATTCTCAAGAGACTTATAGCGACGCTATAGTTGACACAGCTCAATCAATTAGGATAAGCGGGCTATGTTTCCCGCCCTCGCTGTTTCGCCCGTACTGAAGTGGACATATCATTCAAAGAAATGATGGCAATGTTGGGAAACACCGCGGTGGGCCTATACGTTGTTCTAGAAGCCCCCCCCCTGAAAGCGACTATGTCAGCTTATAAATATTATGATGTAATAGGATCGCCATAAGGACGCGCCATACGCTGGGGACCACCAGCGAATTGTTTGGTCGTTCCAGGAGGGGGGTGGAAAGAAAGTCGTATTTTGCTTTGAGAAGAGGTTACGGTCATTGGGCTTTGTCTGCTTTAATCTAATGTTAGCGTCTGCTATTCACCCGCACCTCCCTCCCACTTCCCGGCCCCCGCCCCCATAAGCTTTTGCGAGCGAAATGGAGAAGACATTTTGCCAAACTCCGGAAAAGTGGTAGGATGTTGGCATATTCTAGGCATATGGTAGACGGGGATCGCACCAAAGGGGGAAATTTCGAGGAGGGCCGCACTTCGCACAAAATTTTTTCCAACGGCAGGACTCGGCCAGCTGGCCTGCAACGACTATGTAGGACTTTCATCGGTTCGACGAAACACCAGTGAAGAGGATAATTACTGGAAAGTTTTACCTAAAAAGTATAGTTGCTGAGGAATACATCTTTGGGGGAACTGGTTTCCCTAGCTTCAACTCACTGGCAACACATCTGAAATTAGAGCGTTTTACATTCCACAGGTTTCATATAGAATAATAGGCGATAAAAGTGATATTGAGAAACATTGGTTCAGAAATGGCATCAAACTTAAGAAGCTAGAAAAATTGCAAATTTAAACAACTTACGCCGGTAGCAGCTGACCCAACAGCTTATCGGCTCTCATATTTGCTTCTTCCAGCATTCCAGTCCGCTCTTGCACAAGTTTCTCAAGGTTGTTCGCATACTACAAATTGTGACGTACTTTTGAATTATGCACAGTCCGTATTGGAAAATAAAGGGCCTAGTTAAATACACGTGGCTGCGAATCCTAATACCAAGTTCTCATCTTTCACACATTCTCGTCTCTGCCTCGTACAGCATCGTGATGGGTGAAATGGTGACCCCCTGAGGGAGGGTGTCAGTACGACCACCCCCAACCTACCTACCTACCGATTTTCCCACATGTTCACCCAAAATTTTCCATCGAGTTCCTTGCGAGAGGCAAGGGCGTATAACGGCCGTTCATCGACGGGGGGGGGGGGCATTCTGCTTTTCATAGATTTGCCAACCCATCTAGGTACCCTTTTTTCGAGTTGACACGTTTCAGGATGGTGGTTAGACGATCTTGCTCCAGCTTCACAAGCGTTCACAAAATCACTAGAGTGAGATTTGTAAACCGGAACCAGGTAAGCGAATAGTACAAAATGCCCCCCTCCCTCCGTCGATAAAGAGCGCCTAGTACGCATGAAACAGGAAAATCACCAAAAGTCAACCACCACTCCTACAACGCCAAAACGTAAATACGACCCCCCCTCCCAACAATGACCAAGTACGACCCCCTCCCCCTTTACAACGTCCGTGAAGCGAGAAAAATCAACTATCAAAATAAATTTTCTCAGCCCAAATACGACCCCTACTAGGGATTCCCCTTCACAACAGCGACCTGCATAGCCAATGTAAAACGGGAAAAACCGCGAAAGGTCAACAACCGAGAAATTCTTCCCCAGCACGGCAACTTCCTCTCAAAGCCGCACACACAACCCCCCCCCCATGTGCTTCACACAGCGACACTGTACCCTGCTGCCTCATGTGTTTATTGACGTGTTGCAAGACACAGAAAGCTCATATAATACCAAAAAGAAAATTTGGAAGAACTCCGAAAGTCGCGTTCTCTTACTGAATTCAGACCAGTCGGATCGCCCGGCTGAAGCCGAGCTCTCCTCCTTCTCTTTAGCTGGCTTGGCTTCGCCAGGCGCACTTCATAATGGAAACGGAATTTGTTCATTCACTTAGCTGCTTATACTGTGCTGCTTTGATCGAACCGTAAACGCGAGCAGCTTGCTGCGTGCTCCTCCTCAAGCGTGCGCTACGCACCCCCTAACCGCACCTCTTTCCCTCGGTCTCCCTCCTGCAGGTTCTCAGGTCCGGCTGAGCCCGTACAGTTGAGGGAAGCAGGGGAGAGGTCACACACTGCTCTCTCTCCTCCACTTCGGCCCGCACGATCGCACCTCGAGCCGCCGGCAGCCTGTGCAATGGCTCGTAGTGTACCAAATGGCTGTCCTAGCAAGAGAGGGTGAGGGTATCCTATATAGGGTGAGGGTATCAACACAATCAAAACAACATCTTAGTTTGTTACTTTATTATGGATTAGCTTGCAGTTTTGCTAGCGGTTGTATCCTCCTCTCTTGCTGCATTTTCCTCCTCAAGCGTGCGCTACGCATCCTTCCCCTCCACCCAACCTTTTCCCCCTGCCTACCTCCCTGCACGTGCTCAGATCCGGCTGAGCACGTGCGGGAAAAGGAAGCAGAGGGAGCACGTGCGGGGAAAGGAAGAAGAGGGAGCGGAGGGGAGGGGTCACTTGGTGTTCCTCCCCCTCCCTTCCATCCCACCCTGCCCCACGGTCAAACTTTTTCGGTTGTTGACAATTCTTGCTTTTGTCGTGCTCGCTATAAATAAACTTCCCTAGTTGCCGGCGACGCAAAACAGGACCACTATTTCTGATAATTGAAACTGGCAGGTAGGAATATGATAATTAGGGTGGGGAACACGAGTCGTCTTTTTCACACCTCACGATGCTGTATTCTGCCTTCCTACGTTTTTTTGTATGCTACTTTGACCTTG